AACGAAAAACTAAGGGATATTAAGAAATTTTGTAACATGGAAGCATGCGTATTATTACTAAATAATCATAATTATTACTCACTTTTTTAAACTTTTACGACAGTTAATATGTTGCGTAACTAATCTGCGTCATGAAGAGTACAATATTCAGCAGGTTCATTCAATACCATTAATTAACTATTTAACATATGGAAATTAGGGTTTTGCATTCTAAAATGATTTACAGGGGCGCACAATATACAGTACTCGATTGGTTTCCAACACATTCACGGCAAGGGTATTTTGGGGAACTTCTTTATTTTTTCTCGGGATCATGGAACTTTTTTTTAAAATTTCATTGAAATATTTTTAAACTTCTCGCAATCAATTCAGTGTGTTGCTTTATTTGCAACAGTACTTCAGATACTCTTAAACCGGCAAAGTGGCATCAGCTGATGTCACTGCAGTGCTTCTGACAGGGAGGTCCGAGGGTTCGAGTCCCGACAGTAGCAGATTTTTCGACACTAGCTACAAAGCTAGATTGAATCCAACCGCTGTTTAGAGGAGACTTCGAGCGGCCATCTGCTGTGATTGGTAGCTTTCTGTGGTTTCTCCGACCAGGCGAATGCTGGAGCGGTACTTTAACAAACGGGCAAAGGACCACGTGCGATCTTTTCCTTCCTCTTCCTTGGCCTTTCGACATCCCCTACTTACACACTTACTCACATGCACTGCACCACCACATTTGTCTGGAGATCGGCCGGGAGCTTAGAGCTTGTCCCGCCGGGGGCGGTGCCCTGCTGGTGAAAGATCCCTGGGAGGGGGGGGGGGATCCCCAAGCAAGCCGATGTAGGTCGGCGCTGGATCACGCCATTCATTGGAGGAAGCTCACCGCCGCCTCTCGCGATAAAACACGCACTGCACTTACGTGAATAATGTCCATCGTAGTTGACGCACCCGGAAACACAAAATACAGTAGAACCCCGATAATCCGAACCCCGCGAATCCGAAATTTTGGATTATCCGAACAAAATTCGGGATGGAAAAAGCTAAACAAACTAAATAAAATGCTTAATTGTAGTGTAATAAAGGATTTTATAATTATTGTAGTACTGAACTACTAATTATTGAAACACAGTATGTTGAAAAGAATCGGATTTTGCACTGGTAACTACAATGTATATTACATGTTTATTTAGCGTCATTTTCACTTCGAGAAACTTGCAAAATCAGTTATCTTCTTGTGCCGCAAGGGACTGAATCCGCTTGATGTTGCGATGTCTACGCTAGGTTGCCATTTTCTCACATCGCACGGTACGTTGCATTGTCTGCTAATCCTATAGATGCATTTGTATATGTATGGTAGATTTTTGTCGGGTAATCCGAACACTTCCGAATACGAACAAACCATACCCCCTAATTAGTTCGAACTACCGGTGTTCTACTGTACTCCCGTTTTTCATCCGCAGCGTGTGCAAGAGGCGGGGCCGACGCCGGGCACGAGGATGCGGTTCGAGCCCAGCCCTGCCGCCTGCGCCTCCCCTGTGCCCGGCCCGTCGGGACTCCAGCCGCCGCCCCAATTCTCGCCCTCCTGTGCGTGAACCGTCTTTCCATTTATTCGTTTGTTCATTTATTCGTTTATTAATGTATCCGTTTATTCGTTTATTCATTCATTCGTTTACTCGTTTGCACATTTATTCGTTTATTCGTTTGCACATTTATTCGTTTATTCATTTATTCGTTTATTCATTCATTCGTTTATTCGTTTGTACATTTATTCGTTTATTCATTCATTCGTTTGTTCATTTATTCGTTTATTCATTTATTTGTTTATTCTTTCATTTATTCATTCGTTTATTTGTTTGTACGTTTAATTATTTTTTTCATTTTTATTTGTTCAATTATTTTATGTCAAAGTAAAAACTCTTCATGACGTATGGAGGAAAAGGTTACTAACGGCGCCGAGCCCCTCCGAAGGGATAAAAGTCATCCTCTGAAATTGCGATGAGTTAAGACTGGGACATAACGAGACAAACGACAAATATGTTATAGGAGAATTACTCAAATGGCCTCAATGTCCAAAAATAGTTAAAGAGACGTGTTCCGTAAAATTCGGGACAAATTTTTAATTAATGAAATAAATATTCATTATTTTTTCCTTTTAGCTTTGGTAGATAATCTTTAGCTTTAGTAGATAATCAGGTTACCGGCATTTGTAGATTTTTAAATGGATAGAATGGTTGAAAGAATTTTGTGGAAACTTATCGAATCAAAATTGAACTCGAGGATTTCTAGATAGTAAATGTAGCCGAAACTGTCATTTGAGACCACTTCTAGCGTGTATATGCGCCAATATTGCTCCATAAATAACAACATTGTGTCTTCTTAAGATTATTCGACTATGTAACAAATATTGTACAGCTAAGTTAGTAAAAAATTGAAAATCGAATAATTAACGGACTTGTGAGCATATTTATGCTACAATGTTGAAAGATACATTAATGGCACTACAAAAGTAGGCAGTTCCTGTAATGACATGAAAAATTATTATAATAAATTTCGGAGGTGAAGACCTAAAGAGCAAAATAGCCACTTGTCTAAGTATCCGAAGTCAGAACATAATTTTCGGTCGGCGGCGACGCAGACCTACCTCACCCTGTGCCTCGCCCGTTGATGTGACTGCGTTGTGTCGGTAGTTGTCACCCCAGACTCGTCCCTGTGGGGCGCCCTGTCGGCCGCCAGCCCTGCTCCTGCCCCGCCGCCCCCGACGCCGGTACCTTGCTGGGGCAAGGGCAAGGCCATCCCGGGCAAGCCACTGCGGGCGAAGCGAGGCCGCACCCCCACGCTGACGGCAACGCACCTCGGCCACGGGGTATACATCGATTACTTTATCCCAGGGGTGTCAAAATTCTAAGTTCACGTAAGGGAAGTGTTTTTTTGTTGTTGTTTTTCTTTTTTCTCTGACGGTGATGTGTACCTTCAGTTCATCATCCGTATTGTATATTAGGATTCTAGGATTGAGATATTCTTCCACTATCCTCTTCAAGTAGAATGTAGGCACACTGATTGGGTGGAGTACTTTGTGAATGTCGCTCTATCTTGCCGTGTTAATGGCATTCTTAATGTCCAAAGTTACAATCGCGCAATACTTTCTTGGACATCTTTTCCATCTGCTCCCACAAATTGCCTGTCGGACACAACCGACGAAGAAAAGAAGTAAAGAAGGAGTGAAAAAACGAAAGAAATATGTACTTTGTATCAAAATCCCTCAAAACGTGAATTCCTGTCAAAATCTCTTCGATTTTTGATGCATTAGAATAATTTCTGGTGTCTATGAAGAAAGTTAAAAATAAGAGACGTATAAAAAAAATATTGATTATAAAAGGACGATATTAAGTAAAGTGAATACAAATAAAATGAAAACCGCAAAAGATTGTTGAGAAGGAGAAACTGATCTATTTATAATCAAGAATATAGAAAACGAAAGATATTCTTGAAAAGGCTTATGATTTTGTCTTTCTTCTGCTAATACTTTTTTCAACGGGAAAACTCATCTTTGTTTTAATTACACAGGAATATTTCAGAAGTGTGTTGTATCCCAGTAAGCTCAGATTTCGGTTGTATTTGAATGGAAATTAATTTTTAGAGATTGATAGGTTATCTGTGGTTCAGATAAGGGGGCGTCAGTAATTGCGGATAAGCAAGTAATATTGCGCTTTTACTAGCCAATTGTTTTTCTTGTAACAGTTTTTTATCTATTGGAATGACTACTCATCCAATCATCCTCCTCCTTTCTATAAGTATTGTACTATTTTGTAATGAGTACCTAGTGGAAAATCATAACCTTTCTTTAAATATCATATATATCTAATATAGCAAACTTTAAAAGAGAGAGGTAAAAGTAATTCTGTCTGAAACTATTATAAGGAAGTCAGAAGCAAACCACCTGTTGTAATGAGTGTTTGTTGTTGTTGTTGTTGTTATTATTATTATGTGGTGACGGTACTCATATCAAGTATTGGCAGTGGCAGCATGTCTCAAGAACATTAGTTAAATAATTTAAAACATACAAACAAACAAAATTTGAAGATTTGTTTAGTCTCATAAAGGCCTGTCCTGCAAGGTAATAAGTAAATGGGCTACATTATCATTGTGTGACAAGAACGGTGACAAAATGTCTAATAAATACACTATATGTTATCAAAAGTATCCAGACACGTGCCTGAAAATGACTTACTAGTTCGCGACGCCTTCCGTCGGTAATGCTGGAATTCAATAGTTGGCCCACCCGTAGTCTTGATGACAGCTTCCCCAGGCATACTTTCAATCAGGTGCTGGAAGGTTTCTTGGGGAATGGCAGTCCATTCTTCACGGACAGCTGCACTGAGGGGATGTATCGATGTAGGTCGGTGAGGCCTGGCACGAAGTCGGCCTTCCAAAACATCCCAAAGGTGTTCGATAGGATTCAAGTCAGGACTCTGTGCAAGCCAGTCCATTACAGGGATGTTATTGTCGAGTAACCACTCCGCCACAGCCCGTGCAGAGTGAACAGGTGCTCGATCGTGTTGAAAGATGCAATCGCCATCCCCGAATTTTTCTTCAACAGTAGGAAGCCATAAGGTGTTTTAAAACATCAACGTAGGAATGTGCCGTGATTCTGCCACACAAAAAAATAAGGGGTGCAAGTCCCTCTATGAAAAACACGGTCACATCTAACACCATTTTGGACGTGTCCGGATACATAGTGTATGTGTTGTACTTGCAACTTTTATTTTTCTGGAAATCTACGAGTACAATTTTTATTAGAAATTATGGAAAACTTGTAGCATATAAAAGATGTATTTTCATAAAAGCCAATGAGTTCATTCTAAATATCATCATGCTTGAAATCAATGAAACCAATGGAATTCTCATCAGAATGTAAGAATATTTGTTATGTTATGAACTGTTTACATCTGTCATAATTTTCGACCAAGCAGTGTTTATAAGTTACAAATACCAATCTGTTTTCATTTTTACAGCTGCCGTTTCATCCTACTGAAGTACGACCATGGACAGCTCCATCAATGTTCTCACAGCAGGTGAATGTAGTTAATGTACTTCTTCACTTTCAAAACTAGAAGAAACATTACAATGATCTAGATGTTGAAACTGTTAAGAACAGTGACACTTTTCCTACCAGCTTCTTTGCAGTGGACTACTGCTGCCTCATGAATAGAGCTCGGAAGTTTGGTAAAATGTATTTTTCTTGTTGTTAATATTGCATGACTTTTGACAATATGAATCATTTAATTGTGATTCAGGAGTTATATTAGTAGCCTTTTTACCTGATTTCAAATGTTTGACTGTTTTAGATTGTGTTGCCAATTTTTGCCATTTTGTCTCATTACTTTCCGATATACGTACGTATATACGGAGTAATATACTTACATAAGGTAAAGTTACGTAATGCACGAAAAACGGGGGATTTTCGTCACAAAAAATTTCATTGCCGGGCCCTGATAACGAAGCAGTGGATAAATCCAGTTGTTAAATTAAGAAAAAAGTCTTCTAACACGTGGTGTAGCCAGATTCTGTTTCTCTCTGGTCATTGATGTCGAAAAAACAAAAAAAATATTGACGGCAAAACGCCCGTCCCCTCTCCGTCCGTATACACCAATAGTGCCAGAACCATATTGCAATTTTTTCCAAAATGCATATTCTCTGGTCGATCTGGATCCACTCGAGGCGCCGTGATTTTGAAAAACTTTCTTCAAAATTCAGGAGTACTTTACATGAAGGTCCCCGGACATTTTCAAAATTTTCTCTAAAACGGCTCCAAATTTTTTCTTTAAATTCCTTGTAAGAATAGAGTAAAATACACTTATAAATGTGGCATACGTCCGATTTTAATGGTAAAGTTTGAATTTTTGAGAATTGCAAAAGTTGGAATATTTTTCGGCGTCTTTCTTACAACTACAAAATTGAAGATAAAGAATTTTCCTTCCAATAAAATTTGTTATCCATAATTAGTTGTCATTAAGGTCGTGTACAGTTTTTTTTGGAAATTTTAGTTTTTGTGCAATATTGCATGCAATATTTCAATTTAAAAAAACACACACAAAAAAACAACAGATTTTCTCAAACGGGTTCCAAATTTTTTATTTAAACTCTTAGGGGGGAATAGTACTAAAAGCATTGTATAAGATGACATAAACGCCATAATTTTCAAAAAATACAAAAAAATTTTTTTTTTTACTTGTCTCTCATGTCGCTAATATTTACATTAGTGGCGATTCAGATTAATGTATTTATGAGTGCATTTGCCTTAAATAATGTCATATAAAGTTTCTCCAAAACTCAACAGTTTTCTGTAAAAATGAGCTCAAAATTCCTTATATTCAGAAACACTCGTAAGCCATTTTCCGAAAAATCGCTCCAAATGACTCCAATAGTTTTTTCTTCAAACTTTTCCAATGTATAGTGCTAATTTTATGGTTTAAGATGGTACAGAATTAATTTTGCTGTATTCTTTTATTTTTTTCAAAAATTACACAAATGTAATATTTTTGAAATATCATGCCTTTAACATGCACATTTCCAGCGATTTAGGATGGGGTTTTATCATTCATTAATATTCCAAAAATAATATTTCCATTCTACTATTAGAAAACCGAAAAATTAAGAAAATTCCTCAAAAAAATAATTTTGGTGACGATAGAAGGTAGCTGCCAGAGTATGTGGCAAGTAACCAAAATCAAGGGAAATAGAAAACCATTTCGAAAAAAAGTCTGTTCCATTCTCTAGCACCACTAGTTTTTACCCTTTTCTGTCTTTTATATCAATATTTTGGTTTTTTCTCCTAGCACCAATCTAAATCAAATTGAATATATCTGTAAGCCTGGACAACATAAAAGCATGGTCCTATTTTACCTTTCTGGGAAAGTAGAGGCTGTGTTAAAAATCTAAATGAAAAAGGAAGATGATACCAGTAAACATTTTTGATTTCTTTCATGGACAGATTTTCTTGTCTCGTGAGGCTCATTCCTTACTTTTCAGTATGGCCTCCAATTCCCTATGAGGACAACTCCCCTGCACTACTTTCAGTGCTGGCAATTACATTAGTGTGAAGAACTAAAAATTTATTTTTGTTTCCCTGATACCATTTCAAGATTTAAAAGGGATGCCACCACTTCTTTTCAAAGAGAGAGCCTCACGAATAAAACAAATTCTTAGCCGTCATTACTAGGATAGATATGTAGATTACCAGAAAAACATTGTTGCCTTACACTTTAAGTCCTAATACAAATTTTAGAATTGGGATAAAAATGTGAATCATTGTAATTATTAATATTTTACAATAATTAATTTTAAATGTGATTTATCATTGTTTATTTTGCCTTTTTGCACCCTTAATTTTTGCTAGAATAAATGCCTTTTTGCCTGCCTACTTTAGGTAAATTAAATGCCTGAACTTCCGGACTTTACTCATGAAATATAATAGCTCTGATGTTTAAAATACAAATATTAAAAAAACGATATTGTATTATTACTGTCATTGTATTATTACTGTCTTGTTTATCATTTTATAATGTTTTTATTGATAATTGCAATAAATCATTATTGTATGAAGTTTTAGAGCATAGTGTATGATATTAATATTAATATCATGTCAGAAAGACCCTTTTGCACATTTTAGAGAAGAGAATGAGTTATGAATTGCTAACAAATATATATGCATGTATTTGGCGTTTGGTATTTAGAGTTGGATTATTCAGATTTTTGCCAGTGGGCAGTGTTTCCAGGCCTGGGTTTGTTTTTTATTCGTTATACACGCCTATGGGTAAGGGCATCATGTGGCAAGAATAGCACACTCCCATTACCATACCTAGCTTATTTGGCCTATCTGAGCTTTCTTTCATCACAAAGCTATAGTTCCTGAGACAATTTATATTAGAAAATTGAACTTAATTGTTGGCCTTTTCTGGGACTTTCAGAAAGCTAGCACAGCATGAACCACCCCAGGGGCCACAAATTTACAGACAAAATATACCCAAGGGATCACAAACCACATTTTTTTAAATGAAAACTTCATTATTAAAATGGTGATTTTTGTTGACCGTTTCAAATTAATGTAATAAATAAATATGTAAAAGTGTGCAATACAGAGCAAATCAATGGAATTGGAGTAGTAATAAATATCTGATGATACTTGAAAACTTTTAGAAAGCAATTTTAAAATTTAAAATATGATTGGGGATGTTTAATAGCAACATTTTTCTTTCATCACATGTGTTTTTTATTGATAAGTTCATGTTTTCAGTTAAGATTGACCTGCTTGTAGTTGCAATGTCAATAGTTTACATTACGTAGTTTTTGCTTAACCCTGTAACAAATGGTTTGGATCTAGGAGACCCACAGGGTATCAAATAAATCTGCCAATGACATAAAGATACCACCAGGAACCTTTTATTCTTTCTACTATTCTCTTGTTTCCAAATGTAATGTGTAGATGCCTCTTATTGTTGCAGAGTTTGTATAAGTATTTTTATTCGTAATTCATTTTGTGCGTGGTCTCCGAGTTTGAACCCATCCTTGTTGTAACTGTTTTTGAGCTAGTTTCTTATTTTTAAAAGTGTTTCATATGATAAAATAGTTTAAAAGATTTAATAATATTGGAATATAAAAAATAGTTGTTACTTTAATGACATATTGTAAGAAATGAAATTCTGTGACAAAGGATGAATGAAAAGCCTCATTGTGCTTCCTTCATAAATTTTAGAATCATATTTAGATAAAAGAATAATTACAGATGATATTAACAAAATTGCTCCCATTTATAATATACTAACATATTGCAGTTCTTTGACAATTAAACGGAATATTTACTATGTGACTCTTTGTTGTTGTTTTTTTTGTCTCTCAGACCCAACCCATCTGCAAATCTAATGGTTTTTCAGCCATCCATTGCTGGGTTTATTAGCTAGAAATTTTCAAATTTATTCATGTATTCTTGGAACTTGCCAATTCTCAGTTTAAAAAGTTGTTAATTAAAGATTTAATTAACTTTTTTAAAAAATTATTTAAAAAAAAACATTTTTACTTCTTTTTATTATAATTAGAAACTTTTCTAAGTATCTCATGCACTAATAAAAAAAAAGGAGTGGAGAGGTGAAAAGATGCCCAATTTTTGCATGGTCATACACCTTTAATAAAGCTGCAATCCTAAACGTGATTCTAAAGAAAAGTTCCTATTATTTTTTTGGTGTTAGATATTGTGAATGATGCATATGAATCCTACTTTGGCATAATTTTATTTTAAGAATTTTTATTTTGAAATTATTTCAATTATAATATTCAAAATTTTTTTTTTTTTAGTTTTCTAGTCTGCAAAAGTTACATCAGGCACAGTTTGCAAGCTTTCATTTTATTCAAAGGTTTTTTATCTATTGAATACTCATCAGTGTTTGTAATTTTAAGATCTATTCACCATTTTTGTGATTTAAATACTACAATTAATGTGCCTAATTAATTCTGTTCTGATGACAATCAAATTTCTGACAATATTACGACTTATAATAAGGGAAGATCTCTTAGTTAAGTAGATGTATAAATACACTAAATAGAGATCTATTTTTTCTCTTCTAATTTTCAAATAAAATTGCTGATACATATTTCATTCTATAGGACTGGAATACAAGTTATCTACCTGACAACTACTACCCCACCTATTGCAGAGGACCTCTACCGAAGGTATAAAACTGATGGGCTTAGGTGTAAAAGATGATAACCTCAAATTTACTTCTGTGTTTCTTTAATCTTTGCTTCCTGCCATTTGTTGCCTATGCTATCAAACAGGTCAATTGGAGCTCCTGATTATTGCTATTTTTATCCAATTCATTTAACCCTTTTTTGCACTGATGTCTCTAAAGCATTTCCTTATTGATTATCATGTTTTATACCCCAACTTTTCAATTATGAGCAACATCATCATTCATAATTACCTAATTTTTCTTGAATCAGTTTTGACCTGCCATGTATGGATCATATCCAAAAAAATTCTCATTTGAAATATTGGTATCTTTAAAATTACAAATAACATCAATAATTTTAAACTTCCTGTTTTTCTCTCTCTAATGTGAATTCTTATATAAATTTGTGTTTGTATTTCAGAACTATGAATATGATGAAGCATATCTGTGACTTTGGATTAGACTGTGAATAATGAAGTTAAAGGAACTTCCTTCAGTGACCATTTTCTTATGATGTTTCAAACTTATCACTGTACACCTTTTTGTCAAATAAACTCCATTTCTCAAAGAAAATATTTTTCTGGCTGGAAAACGAGGTTACCCTTCACATGTTTTATAAATATTCTGTTAGTATGTGCAAAAAATAATCTACTGTTAGTTGAATTCTCCATTGCATCTATTGAAGTCATTTAGACCCAGCATCAATGGCAGATTCAGTTGGGGTGGGGCATGGAGGCCATGGCTTTCCCAAAAGGCATAGAAGTTTTGTTTGTCACATCCCTTTATTTGTCAAAATTTATTTAAATGTTTGTATTGGAATCATATAATTATTTTTAAAAAAATTGTATAGTATCATAACCACTAAAAAAATAATATACAATATAATGACAAATATGTGTATTATTTAATAAATAAATGATGTCCCTCCCCAAAACGATTAGCTGGATCTGCCCCTGCCCTGCATTCTTTATGTCCTAAATTAGAAGAAACTTTTTCTTGCTGATTCTCTTACATTGAATACTACTGAAGGTATGTATTGATGAAATGAATGTTGGTAGCCACTGATGCTAACTGAACCTACAAAAGTAGGTATTTAGGGAGCTGTGTGTTCAATATTAATGTGATACTACAAACATAACACAAATATATTTTATTTGCAGTCATGTTTCAATCTCTTTCAAAGATATTTACTAGTGGTGCTATGACATGGCACCGACTTTCCCATATTAGTTTTTAATTTACTTTGGTCTCGTCTAGCTATATGAACTTGCCACTTACTCTTGTCAACTGCCGTCTATCATTGCCCAAAGAACTTGTTTTTGTTTGTTTGTTGTTTTTTGAAATTTTCTTAATTTTTTGATCTGCAGAGCAGAAATGTTACTTCAAGAATTAAAGGACAGTAAAACCTTGTCCTAAATGGCAATTTTCTTTGAAAAATTTGGGAGCCGTTTTGAAAAAATTGGCGCTTAAGCACTACTGTACATTTGAAATTTGAAGCTCTTTTTCACAGAAAATTGTTGAGTTTTTGAAAAACTTCATTTGAAGTAATTTAAAGCACTTTATCTCACAAATACAGTAATGTTAACAAATTGCTAGAAATGTGCATATTAACAACATAAAAGATTTTTCAAAACATTTACATTTGTGTATTTTTTGAAAAAAAGAGAATAGAACAACCTGGTGTTTATGTCATCTCATAAAGTATGTACATTTATCACTACCCCTACCACAATTTTAAAGAAAAAATTTAGAGCCATTTTTGAGAAAATATTTTTGTAATTTTTCAAAAATGCAAATATTTCTCGCAATTATGCGCGAAAACCACTAAAATTATAAAAATTGTACCTGATATTCATGAAAAAACTAATTATGGAGAACGAATTTAATTTGAAGGAAATATCTCTTCCTTGAATATTGTAGTTATAGAAAGACACCGTTAAAAATCATACTTTTGAAATTTTCGAAAATTCTGGGTTAACCGTGAAAATTGGACCTGTGATAATTGTAATGGGAAAGTATAAATATGTCTGATTTAAGAACAAGTGCAATGCATAATATAACTTGCAAATAAAAATTAGTTGTTGAAGTGAAGGCAAGAGATCTAACGAAAACCATTTTATATTTTCGATGCCCATATTACTTCTTTCCGGGATATTTACGGAACAAATAATTTAAACAACTGGTGAAGTCGTTCCGCTGGGCGTCATATCTTCCGCCTACGTAAGGGATTCTTTCTGACATTATTTACCTTTCGTAGTGTTGCCACCTAGCATCAAAATAATGCGAAATTAATAGATGAACGAATGCAACTTTACTTAAATTGTGAAAGGTACTATCGTTCATACAAAGATAATTTCAACTACTGAACACTCCCAATGAGCTCGATGATCACGTACTATCGTTCATAACCTACTTCTGAGCCGGAACCGGTGGCCAGAGAGTCGGCTTCGGATCGGCAGTAAGTGGAATGACAGTTCATACATTCCGTATTCACGTATATAGGCGAGTGAACAAGTTATATTTTGTTTGTATAGCCCTCGCGTCGGCGGCGAAGAAAACGTTTTTGAGGAAATCAGTACAATTTATTAAATTAGTGTAAGTATGTCGCCGTGTTTATGTTTTTTTGCTTGCCGACGATGCATGTCACATTCTTGAAACTAATAATTTTATGGATTGCATCCAACTGTGTATATAAATTCCTGTGAAGCAAATTGTCTCATTTCGGTGAATGTTTTATCTCAATCTTATGCTGTCAGCAGTAGGCGACCCGTGTTCTCTGGAGTATGAGTAGACCTCCTTTGTAAAATTTTATTATCTACATTTGAAATTTCACATATAGACTTAACTAGCATATGAAATATAAATAAATAAATAAGAATAATCGAATTTTTTACAGTGGTACTGCATTTAACAGCTCAATATTATTAAAAATTGTAAACTGGTATTGTGCACTTTAATTAATGAGGAAACTTAAAATAATGCCATCGTCATTCCTTACTTTTAAAACCACCCTCACTCTCAAAGGAATTTCTCTCTTTTATGACCGTTATGGATTTTGTACAATTTTGAGTGACTGTCACTTCTTGACACTGTTATTTCAACATTTTATTTTATTCTTGATTATATACAACAAAAATCAACATTATATTTTATAATGGAAACAATATGTAAATAAAATATTAAAAGAAATTTTAAGATTTTGATGATTTAAATTTAAATCAAATGTTTTTAAGAAAATCACTGATTTAAGTCATTTTTAACAAGTTGTTAAAATAAATATTTTGTTGCTTCTTTCAAAGAATGAAGAATTATGAAACTTATTCAGAAATGCAGGTGTAAATAATACAGTGTATCTAAAACTTCGGCAGTTCTGCTTGTTGTAATGCTGCGCTCTGACACGTAAGTCTTGGTCACACAGAGATGATGAAAATACCCCGATAAAGACTCGATATGACTGGCTCCAAAGTCAACCCTGAGGCTTGTACTTAATGATAAATTTATTATGCAGCCATCAGCTGATAACTGGTATGACCCCCGAATAACCATGGCAACAATGATCTAATATACATTTGCAAACAGGCTAAGATAGTAATTGTTTCAATGTACCTGAAGAAGGAGCCAGACTTATTGTTATGAAATGTTGTAAATGTATTGTTTCAATAAAATCAAATGTTTAAAAAAAATTTCAATATATTCCTGTTTTATTATTGTTAAAAGTTCCATGGGAGGTGATTGTCAAATAACAAGGACCTGATATGATTAGCCACATAAATGGGAAGACAATCTGAACCTCAAGTTAACAAGAAATCTAAAATTTTATTTAGAACAATTTTAATATTAAAAAACTTTATTTGAAAATCCACACAACAGTGATAACCATTTACAGATAATTTTTTTTATTTATATTTTTTTATAAAAACACCAGCTTGGCTCCCTTATGGGTTCCAAATGAGGTGTTCCTCGAGGTAAATCATGCGCCTCTCTGGGAGAAGAGGGATATTCCTTTGCCATACCTCCCGAGTTAAGCCATAGCCTGCTAGTATGCATGGGAGTGGGCTATGGTAAAGTCATATTGCAAAAATCATGCACTTTTTTGTTCTTCATGCTAAATGTATGGTGTCTTTAATATAGATTTTGAAATTTTTTTTCTCCAGTAGTCCACATATGTGATTTCGTGAAATACCACTTAACAGGATATTTGTCGCTGAGACATTGAACTTAATAGTCAAGACTTAGACCAGGAATTTTGAAAACTCTGAGAGTTATTAAGATTTAAAATTCATCAATGATTTAAATCAGATTCTTTTGTTGCTTTAAGAAGATCAAGAAAATTTTAGAAATTCCAACTGCAGTGATACTAAGTACCACAGGCAGGCACCACAGAGTGCATTGGAGACCTCATGGGTTCAGTGCATGGCATTCAGGGACTCGAGGGAATTCCAGGTTTTTGGTCTTTATTTAATATCACTGCAGCTAATAATTACAACTTGGAATAATATAAATATTAGTTTTTTTGTTTAGTTATTGAATGAATAAAACTAACAAAAGGTGAATATTTTTTCACCTATTGGTTTCTGATTATCTTTAAACTCAAGTAACAACGAGAAATTCAAGCCTTGCAATTCTGTTTTAAAAATAACATTACAAGCGAGTGTATCTATTGGGAATAGAGAGACCACATATGTAGAATAATACACTGCAACAATTAATGATTTAAGATGCATCTTGTTAGGAATAAAATTTAAAAAATTCTATTTTTTTAATATTTATTTTTAATTCACGAATTTTTAGAAATTTTAAAATATTTTTACCAGAACCAGCCCCTATAACAAAGGAGAAACTGACAGTAGAACAAAACTAGAAGAAAATAAAAGAACTTGTTTGAATTTATGTTATGTATCCCAGAAGCAGGGTTAATAAAAATCATGATTTTTTTTCATTAATTTTTTTTATTTAAATTTGATATTTTTATGTAAACCACATTTTAAAAAATTTAAATATTCACATTAGGTAATATTTTTGGATATTTCAGAAAAGAGACGAAAAATTGATGAGCTTGATAGAACAATGGGGCTACCCCACATTGACTACTTCCCAGACACGAAGGGTTATACTAGAACTTTCATAAAATATCTTGGAAACCATGGATCAGTAAAATACTTTTTATTCATATCAAGGCAACTTTCTGCAAATAATGATAAAAAATTTTAACATGTATCTAAATAAATTTTTGGAGGTTTTGAACAATTTTTCTTCTTTCACAAACATTGATTCTGTCCTTTGAATACCCTTTCTTTCAAGAAAAATACTTAATTAGTCCAAATAAATATGAATAATAATAAATCACAGCATCTTTTTTATCATTCTCTTTTTGTCCTCGTGCACTTTGGCTGCCAGAAACTTTGTTGATTTTTTTATTATATTTTTCTTCACTATCCTAATATTTTCTATTTAGTTTTCTGTATATATTTTCCGTTTATATTATTCTTCAAATTTTTAATCATGCTTTGTAAAATTTACAATACAATTAACAATTATATTTTTTATTTAAATTGCCTTTTTTTGGTGAATCATATGATTAAAATCAGTGATGTAAATCACTTGATTTATATCATAGAAACCCTGCCTAGAAGTGAGGAAAAATTCTATTAAGGTAAGATATTTTTTGATCGAGGTGGTTTGTAGGTAACTGGTTGGGATACTTTTCCAAGTGTTGGTTAAGTTTCACACCTATTTCTTTGATCTTTTCTTTAAAAGTTGGTGTATTGAGATTTCATTTTAGTGCAGCATTAGATATGAAACAAGGTGCAGATGAAGTGAATTTTCAGGTGACATCTTAGACGAGTGACCCACAAGCCAGTAGAGTTTTCTTAATTATACTGAAGATGGCATTTTTTGGTTTGATATTTTTTCATGTGAAACAGGTGTTAAATGTCTAGATATTTAATGCTTTCTGTTTGTCGTATTGATGTTTTGTTGTTTCAAACAGTTGGGCAAGTTTCTTTCCTGGGAATAAAAATCTTACTTAATTTGATTTTTCATTTTCTGTACCATTCTGAAAGTGTAATTAGTATTATGCAATGCAAAGCACTTAGCAATTAAAGCAATGCAAAGCACTTCTATGACCATCGGACCTTCGCTGTTAATTATGAAACTTACCCCCCCCCCTGCTTTATAGAAATTGTATACTGAAAATCAAGGATGTGCAGATGTTTGCGAAGCAGAAGTAATTTCAATTTGTACTCACTCGTATTTTAAAGTAAAGTATTTTAACTCGTAATTTCAAAAAAACTATTTTGTCCAGACCATTGTTTTATCAGGTGGAAATTGAAACTTTCCTGCTTAACATGATGTTTTACAGTGTAAAAGAGTATTCAAATTACATCATCCCCCTTACATCATTTCCCTTACAAAAATATAAATAAATAATTCCTTATTCCATTAGACTTTGTTTCATGTTAACTCTTTTGAGCTGAAGCAAAGAAAAAAGAACTGGCATATCACATCCTGTGAAATAGAAGGAGAATGACTGATAAAAAACAAAAAAAAACTGTTTCTCTCTGGATTTGCTAGACTCATTGGGTGCTGCAGTAAGACTACGTGTACAAATTGAAAGAAGAATAAAGAAAAAAATCTGGTAAAACTTACCTTCTCCTCACCATTTAAGTTTTAAATATAGAATGTATTGTTAAATTTTATGTAGTTGCTGACAGAATTTATATGTATTGTATTATTATTATTATTATTATTATTATTATTATTATTATTATTATTATTTTATTATTATTATTATTATAAGAAGTAGTATTAAAATAACATCTTGAAATGTTAAATTATCTGCTACTAAAAATGATTATCTACTGTATAAAATCCTAATCTATCTGTAACAAGCATTGTAGTATAATTTCTAGGGCAATGACCCCATCACGATCAGGTTTTGTTCAGTTTCCCAGTTCCCTTGAGCAAATGCTGAGATGGCCCCTTGTTTGCTCCTGAACACTAATGTAACTTTCCTCTCTCCACTCAAGACATCATATTGACTCATTATACACGATTGTAATTGTATATGTGACTCAATAAATATTATTATTATTATTATTATTATTATTATTAGTATTATTTTATTATTTATTTTTATCGCGATTTGAGGGAGGGGAGGGTTGTTCCTTCCTCCCCCCCCCCCCACGTGATCCATTACCGGCTACTCGGTGCGACAATTCAATTGAGTACTGGATGATCAACATTGTTTATTGTTCGTACGTATTTTATATATCATTAAACAACGTGTGGCGAAGACAAGTGTACAATTACTTCTCTGGGGGTAGAATTTTCTTTCAGCCCTTCCGAATCCCTTTTAGGAGTTTCCTGTGCGTTTTGAAGATTTTCCTGTACACACTGCTGCTATTATTAATAGTAACTGTTATGCAGTTACAGCACACCAGTGATATTTTTCGTATTATGGCGGGTATTTAGAACTATAAGCTTTAAAATTATGCTGACGTGTCTAAAAAGTCTTACATTTTTGGGGTTGTGCAGGATGTGCAATATATAAAAATATGGTTAACGTTATTTGTTCTCGATACAATTAAACGTATCACCGGGAGAGGTGGCTCAAGGCATCAGCTGATGTCACTGCAGGGTCTCTGACTGGGAGGTCCTAGGTTCGAGTCTCGACGGTGGCATGATTTTCAACACTAGCTTCACAGTAAGGTCGAATTCAGTCGCTGTCTGGAGGAGAATTCTGTTCTGATCGATAGATTTCCGATCAACACCAGGAAATGTCGGAGCAACACCCTAACACGGGCCACGGACCGCGCGCTATCTTTCATTCCTCTTCCTTGTCGTATTTTCACTCCTAACTTACATACGTACTAACATTCACTATACTTCTACACATGCCGGGAGACCGGTCGGGATCTTAGAGCTTGTCCCGGTCATGCTCTTGCCTTAAAATGGGTCCAAAGAATTTTGCTTTTCTGTTTCAAATGCTTGTTAAGAACCATCTCTACTCTTTCTTTTCTAAAATTTCATTGTTTGAAATTTTTTCAGTCAAGGAAACCTTGAGTATTTTTTTGCCACAGTCACATCTCGTAAGCTTCTAACCAATTCCTATCCGTATTTAAAAAAGCGTCCATCCTTCACATCCGTATAGTAGAACACTCAAGATATAACTTTTCAGAAATTTCTTTCGAATGTTCAAATTCAGAATTCGTAAAGGATACTATCGTTCGTGCTTTTCTGCATCGCCGAACTTGGGGTTGTTGCACATGTTGGTACACTGCCTCAGCAAGTTGATATTTGTGGACAAATTTATTTTATTTAGGAACGACTTCTTTCCTAGTGTTAACGGTGCTTAATGATTTATGTAGTTCTTTTATTGTCTTCTGAGAAGTGTAGCCTAAATAGCAAAAGTTGTGTACATGTTCTATTTCTGTTGTATGTAACCTTATTTTATTTGATGTAAAATTATTCTCTTGCCCAAATGTCCTGAATTTCGATTTCTTTATGATAATTTTGATGGCAGAATTCATGCGAGGATATTTACCATTTTGTGCAAATCTCTTCTTGAACCTGTTAATATTGCTACGTCATCTCATCAGTATATTTCTAAACCATGAAATTGCACGCCCTTTAAAGTATTTGATTGCTTCTTCTATAAACAAGTTGAATAAATTGGGGGTGTGAAAGGCAGCATCCTTGTCCCGTTTGTCGGTCGTCGGAGGAGTTCTTAAAGAACGGCCTAATTTCGTTGGCGGCGCTCTTTGCCCAGCTCCAGGTCGGGCGGGCGCGCCATGGTGGGGGTGAGCGCGACGGCCGAGGCGGCGCCGGGCGAGCAGCTGGACGCGTCCCTGGGCGACGCGTGCGCGCGCGTGCACCGCGTCATGGAGCAGCACCAGGAGCGCATGCAGGAGGCCCTGCAGGAGCGCGAGGGGCGCATGCACGAGGCGCTGCGCCAGCACGAGCAGCGCATGCAGGTGGAGCTCGGCGAAACCATTTAAAAAAATATTTTTTATTTCATTTATTTATTTTATTCATTTATTTATTTCATTTATTTATTTTATTCATTTATTTATTTTATTCATTTATTTATTTTATTCATTTATTTATTTTATTCATGTATTTTATTCATGTATTTTATTCATTTATTTTATTTATTTATTTTATGTATGTATTTATTTATTTATTTATTTTCATCAAAAACAATTAAAAACTGTGTGTGACGTGCTACGGGGAAATGTTCAAAAGCAAAGCAAAAAAGCATTACGTACAGAGTGCCTGGGGACGAATCGTCGAAACTTGGAAAAAGTGCTCTTAACGTAATTTTAATCAAATTTTCTTTAATAAACTACGTGGATATTCCGAATGGTTGAGCCGCAATGAGTACTCGTAAGTTGGTTCGGAAAAATTCTTTCTATGCTTTAATTTTCATTGTAGAAGCATAGAAACACTTCAGAAATTTAAAATCGTTTATTATTTATAAAAAACTTAATATATTTGTTAACGAAGAAAAATTAACGCATAAAAAATAACCCATTTTTCACAATTACACTGCGTTTTTATTTCTAGATTAATTTTTCTTTGTAAACAAATCTTTTCGTTTCTTTTATAAATGATAAACAATTTACATTTTTCTGCAATGCAAATTTTTGCAAAGTATTTTTTCAACCAACTTTTGAGTGCATATCGCGGCTCAGCGATTCGCAATATTCAAGTAGTTTATTAGACAAAATTTGCTTAAAATTGTCTTACGAGCTTATTTTTTAAGTTCCCCGGAAATTCTGTTTATAACCTATTTATATAAACTAGTGGAGCTAAAACAGCTCGCACTTTCTTGCCCGTACTATCACACAAAATTACGCGAAAAGTACTCAAATTTTCGAAAAATTGTACTTGACTTTATTTCAAAATCTATCTTCAAGGAACAGATTTCATTAAGGGAAAAAACTTTTTCTTTAATATTATAACTTGCAGGACGACAAAAATAAACTTTTTTAATTTTCGAAAAAGCAGGGTTTTTAACCAAAACTGCACCATTCCTTCAAACGTTCTTCACACTATCCAACCCAATATTTAATAAAAAACGATGGAGCAATCTTTTTGAAAATTTGTAAAATGCCCAAGGCATTCATGTGACGTACCTCCCAAACTTGAAATATCGGTTTCAAATTCAAGGGGCCAGATCGATTTGGGAATATCAATTTTGGAGAAAATCGGCTGAACGGTTTAGTCACTAGCGTTGTTCACAGACGGATGGGCAGATGTTTTGCTGTCATTCGATTTTTCGGTATCAAGGACCCACAAAACATGGATTCTGGCTACACCACGCGTTGAAGGTTTTTTTTTCTTTATTTAGCAATTAGCAACTGGATTTATCCACTTTCTCGTTACCAAGGCCCAGAATTAAGAGATTTTCTGCCGAAAGTTCGCCGTTTTTTCGCCCACCATTCCATAACTTATTCCTCTACTGCATAAGCGCTAACGAGAAAGTAACACCGGGTCCCGACGGTGACAGGTTTTTCGACACTGGCCTGTCAGCTATGTCGAATGCAGTCGCTGTCTGGAATTCAGCGGCCGGCTGCTTTGATCGGTAGTTTTCCGTGGTTTCTCCCATCAGCACCAGGCGAATGCCGGAGCAGTACCTTAACAAACGGGCCACGGATCGCGCGTGATCTTTCATTCTTCTTTCTTGTTCTATCCTCACACAACTACACTTACATTCCCTACAATACCCCGCATGTTGGGAGATCGGTCGGGAGCTTAGAGCTTCTCCTGGCTGGGGCGGTACCCCGCGGGTGGGAGATACCTGGTTGGGGAAAAGCCCGCTAGCCTACGGTAGGTCGGCGCCGGATCTCGCCATACAGCGGGGGAGAGACCACAGCCACCTCCCGAGCAAAATAAGCATCTAAACGTATGGCCCTAGTAGTTGACCTGTCCCGTATGACTAACCATCAATCAGTCATGGATGTTTTTCTCAAATTCGCCAATCCCTGCACGCAGGACGCCCTGCGCCAGCACGAGCGGCGCCTGCAGGAGCGCATGCAGGCCGTCGTGGACCAGATGGAGCTGAACAACGCGGCGGTGCGCGCCCTGGAGGAGCGCATGCGCCGCGTGGAGGAGAACATGGAGCTGCTGGAGGGCCACCTGCCGCTCTTCGAGGAGCTCGACCCCCGGCAGCAGCAGCAGCAGCCGCCCCCGCCTCCGCCGCTGGAAGACCCGGAGCGCCAGGGAGCTTAGGCGACGTTTCCGAGCTGGGAAATCCGTTAGTTCCTCAACCGACCTATAGCGTTTTTTTTTTTTTTAATTTTCAACTCGCTCGTGTTCTTGTGTTTTGTGGAAACCGTCGAGGAAAAAATGCCTTGAAAGTCGGGGGGCTTAAGCAAACAAATATTCCCTTCACTTCGCTTGGATCTCTGACTGGCAAAATCCGTTAGTTCCTCAATTTACCTCCTATTTTCCACTGCAGTCCACTCTGTTTTTTTTTTTTCTTTTAACTTTTTTTATCAATACCCCTTGTTCCTCTAAATTGTTAAGATCCACACCTTAGTGTTGAATCCAAACATTGTACTTGGCAAAGGACCTATTGGAAATATTGAAGGAATGGGGGAATTATTGAGAGAGCTGATATGAGAAATCTTTTAGTTCCTGAAACAACCTACACTGCCTTTTTTGTTATTTTCAATTCACCGAAGTTCTTGTGCATTGTGGAGAAAGTTGCACTGAAAGTCTGAAGGCTTAAGCAAACCTTTATTCCCTTTCTGGCTCCTGGAGATCTGAGCTGAGAAATTCATTAGTTCAACAAGACTAGACCTGCTGTGATTTTAATTTTCACCTCTCGTGTCTGTGTGTTAACGGAGATTTTTTGAAGAAGTTGCTCTGGCACGCAGGGGCTTAAAGTACATGGATTTATCTCACCTAGAGATCCTAGGTGAAAATTCCATTGGTTCCTCAGCTGATCTTCTTTGATGCTTCGTAAGCTGATCCTTCTTGAGTGTGTTTTTTTTTTTTTTTTTATGTTTTCAACTCGCTTCTGTTTGTCTGTTTTGTTGATCTGCCTCCACCATTACCTTCCTATTAAATCCAAGTAATTACTTGAAGAACAGCGGAGAATATGGAGTTGCTCAGAGGCAACTTACTGTAGTTTTAGGAGCACAACCAATGGCTGAAAGATCCAGAGACTCAGGGGACTTAAGCAAACAATGGTTCCCTTTGTTTCACCTAGAGATCTGAACTTGGGAATTCATTACTTCGACTGACCTACATTTTCTTTATTTTCAACTCCCTCTTGTTACTCAGTTTTGTCAAGTTCCTTCACTCCAACTTCTAGTTTACTTCGCAAAGGAATTGCTAGAAATATTGAAATTAGGAAGGAGGAAATTCAACCTGCAATCCCAACTGAGATATTCATTAAGTCCTCATCTGACGCAACTTATAGTTGTTTTTTTTAAAATTTTCTTTCCCCAATTTTTTCTTCATTTTTTGTCTCCAATTCCTTTTTTTTTTTTTTCTTTTTTTTTTTTTTTTTTTTCTTTCTAACTTTTTTTCCTCTTCCCTTTTCCTGTTTTGTTGATTGGGCTGCCATCATCTAGTTACTACCTGTTGTATTCAAGCATTTACTCAAACAATGGAAGTGCTATAGGAGTTGGTCAAAGGCTTGTTGCCATTGAGAAACACGAGCAGCCAATGAAAGACTGACGTGTGTCTTAAGCAAATTATGATTCTATTCCTCTGCTTTGAGATCTGAGCTGAGAAATCTGCTAGTTCCTTAATCGACTGTACATACTTTTTTTATTATTATTATTATTATTATTATTATTATTATTATTATTATTATTATTATTTTAACTCTTTAACATGTTCCTGTTTTGTTGAGCCATCACTGCCAGCACCCAGTTACTTTCTGGTGTATCAAAGCATTTCATTTGCAGAGGAATTGTTGGAGAAATTGAAATCCTGTCTGCGATCTGAACTGAGAAATCAATTAGTTTCTCAGCTGATCCAAACCAAGGCTTTTAATTTCAAAACTCTGCGTTCCCGTATTTTGTTGAGATCCAGTAATTATGCTCTCTTCTATCCAAGCATTGTACCTTGCAAAGGACTTTTTGGAAATATTGAAATAATGAAGAGTGATATTGTGTGTGATAAAGAGGCAACAGTATTAACAAACATGTTTTTTGCTTGGTTCTTTAGAGGACCACATGTGTTATCAGAACAAGAAGAAAATGACTTTCTTTGTGTGTATATTCTAGTTTATTATGCCATGGCAGTGAAAGAAGTTCAGTTGTAGTACTTCAAGAATAAAATGAAGTCATGAAATAGACATACTTAAAAGTAAAAAGTTCCCGAGTTTGTTCTAATAATCACATAAGTAAGTTTTGGAAAATATGTATTCCTTTCAGAAAAATTATTATAATGGCTCAAAATTCATTTACACTGAACTTCTTGTTTTGTGCAATAGAGTACCCTCACATTTAAATTGTCCAATGATAGGTGGACCATAATGGGTTGTTTCCTAAATGTATGTTAGTTGATTATAACGTGTACTACCTACTTTATGTACGCACCCTTGCAGAAATAGTGCAAATGTTTTCTGATTGTATATCTATATAAATATCTATTTTTTTACTTGTGATTACAAGGTTGCACAAGTTTATTAATCTTATTTTAAATTGAAAGTATGTTGTCACTTAATAAGGTTGTGAAGATGCACCAGGTATAAATAAAAGTTAATAACGAAATGTATCATTATTTATAAACTGCATGGTGAATAAAATATTTAGATGCAATGTAACCCTAGATTCTCTCATAATTTTCCTCTCATATATGTTGAGAGATACCTTAGTTAAGTAATTCTTTTTATTTTCTCTTCTTTATTCTCTGGACAGTTTTTCCCCATTTGAATCCCAATATTCAAAAAACAATAATTCACTTCATCCACAAAGTGTTCTTTAGATATCATTTGACAATGACCAGACACAATATTTTTGGAAGGTGAAATGGTAATGGACTGTTTGAATGTGATCCATGTTTTCTTATTAACCAACTCCTTCAACTTTTTAGTGCAGGACTACTTACAATTGTTTTTGTAGGAATATCAATTATTTGTTCCTTTGAAAAACGGAAAGATGGGGAACTTGATGATGGTGACTGTACTTTAAATGCACTTAAAGGTACATGCTGGCTCTTTTATTCTCTGGGCTTGAATTTGTAAGTCTTCTGGCGATTCACTTCAATTTTTGCTTCCAATGCTCCACCTTCTAATGCCTTCTTTCGATTTTCTCCTGTTCTAGTGAACGTTTCACCCATCAGAGATGGCATGAAACAACAGCAAACAATGTTACTGTAAATTCGGTCATATGTTAAATAGAATTAGCGTTTCGTCATTGCCACTGATATTTCCACAAGATTCCAGTAACATTGTTCAATATTACAGTTTACCTTTCATGCTCTTATGTAGCATATGAGATCATGTTAAACAATTTAGGAACCGACACAAGCACTATATCACTAAAAACTCATGTCTTGTTACATAACATCACTCTGGATTGAGTTGAGAATAGGTTGCCTCCCTGCACCAGTACTTATGTCAATCAATGAGCTAGAATATACTAGAGTACACTGCAGGTTGTAGGTGGTGTTGGCTCAAAGGAATTCGGCCTAGCCACGTAGTATAAAGTTATTTAATTTCGATGTCTAATAACCTGTTAAATAAATAAATATATTAAAAAATAATCAATCTTTTCCTTCTTTATAAGATATTTATTCAAATAAAGTTCATCATTACAACTTTTTAATTTTTGTTATAGAGAAAACTGCATACAAGTGTGATATTTATTACAACTGCCCAATTATGTAAATAAAAAAATTAAAAAACAATGTACATGTATATATGGAGACCTATAGTTAAAAGGAGTACTACACCAAAAATCAAACAAACTTTATTGAAGCAATTGATACCAGAAAAATATCATTTTCATGAGAAGATTGTGTAATAATGTTTTTATAGTAACATTGATATTCAGAACTGTGGATAGATGCCATCATGTAGTAAATACATACTAATTAGAATGCTGAAGATCAACTTCAACTCAAGTAAACAAGTTTTTGAAGTAAGTTCTAATAGACAAAGAAGCAATACAGATCACCTATTTAATCACTTCAATATAGGCATGCAATACTGATAAGAATTTTATAATTGTTGGAGATAAGCGAGAAAATTTTGTGGAATTTTCAATAAGTAATTTTGAATTTGTTTGATTTTTACCCAACAACAAGTCTGTGTATCTGGGGCTGAGCCATTTCTAGCTTTAAAATAACTCAATATATCGCAGCATAGCAAGTAATAAATTAATTGTATAAAATAAAAAAATGAATTGATTGGAACCTTAAAGTAGAAAACCAAAATCTAAATAACTGATCAGGAGACTAAGGTAGCTGACTGTTAAAATAGCACTGTTAAAATAGAAATTGCACTAAAAGCACTACAAAATGTAAAATAATTAAAATGAAACAAATAAATGTTAAGAAATGTTAACAAATAAAAATTAAGAAAATAATAGCACAGGTCACTCGAAATTATTGCAAATGATCACAATATAGAAGCATGGTTTAAAATGTTGGCAGAACTTCTGAAAGTAGTCTCTTTTGGAAACAAATCAATAACAAGTCACCATTCACATTATGATATATATCAGGTAATTCTGGTCATGGTGGCATCAATTACCAACACAAAAGGAAATGAAATACCCTCTGTCGCTTTCCAGTACTTATGTCCATGTGACATTTTTCATAAGCTAAATTTTAGTCCTTAATTTAAGGAAACAAGAACGGTATGAGTATTATTTCCCAGAAATCGTATTTTTAATTTAAATGTTTATTTTGTTTTTTTTTCTTCTAAGGTATCACAAAAAGTATTGAACACGCTGCTGATAATATATTAACTCACTTGATCCTAAACCTCAATCTCTAAACTTCAACTTTGTCTATTATTTTTAATTAGTAAGTATGTTCTGTATATTATAGGCAGCCAGGAAGATGAAACAAAACAGAAATTTCAAATTTGTTAGACATTTATTAATAGATCATAAATAAAATGTAACATTTCAAAAGTAATTGATATTTCATCATCAGGCTATAACCCTGATCGAGAGAGAAAGTTACATTGAGATTCATAAGTATATAAGAAAATCAAGCAGAATATAATGGATAATAACATGTTATAAAGTTTATCATGAATGATATAATAAGATTGATCACTCATAATTAACTTCATAACATGATATTAACCTCTGGAAGACTAAAATATTTTTTTAAGTATATTGCCCAGATTCTCAAAGCATGTCAACGCATTTAATGAATTCTTGGAAAATTAGGTATGTGAAGCTGAGCTTTGAAAAACAAGATTTTTTTATTTGAAAACTGAGTAATTTTGTGATGATTTGAAGGCTGCAGGACAGGTGAATTAAATTTTTGTCTAAACCATTAAAAAGAGAGATCTTTCATCAAAGAAAAAGAAAAATCATTTTGAATGAAAATTATTAAAGTTATAATTTTCTGAATTTGGTCCACTTTTTGAAAATTAAAGTGGCATGTATGAGCTGGAGCAATGTAAATTATTTTTTAAAATTTCCTATTTAACAATTTGAAAATAAATATAATTATTTCGATTTTATGTGCACTTTCATGTAATAATCAAGGGTAATAGAGGATGTTCTTATATATTTCTTTGAACATGAAATGTTTATGCTAGACGTACTTGGGTAAAATCACATTCAATTTCAGAAATAATGTCTGGAAGAGAATTCTAGCAGCCGGCAGCTCTATTCGGTAATTTTCCGTGTTTTCTCTGATCGTCACCAGGCGAATGTTGGAGCTCTACCCTAACAAAAGGACTCTAGATCGGGCGGGATCATTCATTCCTCTTTCTTGTCCCTTTCTCAAGCATTATCTCTTCCATGTGTACTGACGGGTTACACTTTGGGAGCTTCAGTTGTCCTTGCTGGGGGAGGCACTTGGAAGCAGGAAATCTGCAAGCTGTTCTCTGATTGGTGGAAGTAGTAGGGAGTACCATGTCCCCACCAGAAGTTAGGCTACAGTAGTAAAATGCAACATAATTTCATCAGGTTTCACGAATATGAACAGAAATGGGGAACAAATCACATGTCGAAATGATCATTAGCCTGTTAATCCTAAGTAAATCACCCCCATTCCTACAGTAAACGCTAGTGATGTGACATAAGTGTTACCAAGCTTTGATACTCAAAATCAAAACTTCGATGTTAATAATACATTCACAAAAACCATCAACCTTTTTTTAAATTGATTAATTACCTTTAACATGAAATTTGTGCCCAACAATATTTAATTTGTCATGTTTATTAATATATAATTAAGATTTACTAACTGAAAATAAAGTGAAATAATGACTACACTGTCTTGATAAAATGGAATCATCATTGCTGAATTCTAAGACAACTGCTATCATTGTGCATAAATTTTGTTTGAAGATAATAGTTATTTATTGTACGTGTCTAAAAGAGACCATTATGTGCCAGTTGATTATTCAAGAGAGTAGTTAATTAATTATTAAGGAGTACATAATAGTATTTTTGACAAGTTAATATGCAGTATTTTATCATAACCTATTGGCTTTTAACATTTGGATATATTATCTAATTAGTAATAAATTACAAATTCAAGTTTTTCATTTGTCCATCTTGCAGTTGATTTACTGCACTTGAAGGATATGTGACACAATAACATGTTTTGCTGTTCTTTGTATTAATTCAAATCAATTAAATAATTTAAGAATGTTACAAAATATTATTAAAAATTTTGATTTTCGAATTAAATCATTGTTTTGCAATAAAATACATTAAGATAGTCTACTAAATAAATAAAACTTGTTTTCTATTGTCTGCTGTTTACTCCTGATTTGGTCCTGCAACCAATCTTGAAGCATATCTAAGTCCTGTAAAATTGTCATAATTGTCCTTATATAGAAAGACATGTACACAATTTCTCAATAAATTCTCCTAAATATATTTATTAATTAACTTCTTAGATCATCACAACACACTGTGTCTAATTGCAATTTATGAAGTTGAAGGTTTAATTGTTTTTACTTGATGCGAAAACAGGAAAAACTGTATAGGCCCCTATGTGTCATTTGAGAGAAAGGAGAAAAGTTATGGTACATTTTAGAATAATTCAGAAAAAAAATACAGAGTAGTATATTTTATTAAGTACATTAAAGTTAAAATAATAAAAGTTAATAAAGAAAACTTTAATATGAAATGTTTTCTTACTTAGTATTAGTTACATTTTTTGTTTTAAAATTGAGACATAACAAACTCAATTTTACAAAATCACAGTAATAGAATATCATTTATATCACGCAGTTATTGAATTGTTTTAAAACTTTTACACCAAATAGTACTACAGATTTCTTTCAAAACTGTAATTTTAAAGTTCTTGAGATGTTTTTGCATCTTCTAGAGATTCTTTTCAACCCATTTGGTACTTACTTTCATGGTTCTTGACAAATTGAAAAATTATTTGGCCTTTCCACAAAATTTTCCTACACTTTTTAGATTTCTTTGCACAAGTTGACCTTTCCCTTTATTTTTTATAGTATGTTAATTTTTTCTTTCAAACATAAGCTAAACAACTTTAATATTGACAAAAACATTTGTAAAGTAGATGACGTTTTAGTGAAAACAATGCCCCCTGAATTTTTTGGGGGGATTTTGAAAAGTGAACATTACACGAAAACATTCAAGCCTGGGATTCTGGGATTTCAAGTTCTGGGATTATTCCATTCAATTTTTTTCGTGAAATTGGATGACAAAATAAATACACATTTTCATCTTGATGCAATGTCAGATTTAGATGTTATTTGTAGATTGTAAATATTTTTGGCATGCGTAGTATTATAATTGATGAAAATATCACAATCTTATATACAATCACAAGTACATTAAATTATGAAAATATCAAACTTATCAAACACTTTTCATTATTTTGGAAGGAGACTTAGGCCCTCTAGCTACCCTCTGGCTGAGTCTCTGTCCTATAAACTTTCTCTCTGTAAGATATACCACATGGGAACTAATTCAGTATTGATTGTACAGCATTGAAATACAAAATGTTGTATACATAGCAGCACAACAAGGAATTATGTTGGGGGAACTTTGCTGGTAATGTCCACCTGAGTTGATGTACTCTTACAAATAATTATCATTTTATATTGAATTTAAAACCTATTTTTGAAATTTTATAGTAATTTACAATGTGTTCGACGGAAATTTTAATTTCATAAAAAATGTATTAATGAATATGTGTCATCAGTTTCTGAGGAGAGGGAATTAAAGCTTCATCAGCCCCTCCCCTTGTATGGTCCGCAGTGAGTACGTAAAGACTAGACAACAGGAGATGAAGGTTGCAATTTGACCCCTGAATTGTTGGCAGCCATGTCTTGGATGTTGCGTCTGTAAGACCGACAACATTTCATTCTCCAGGAAATGAAACTTGTAAGGTGAAGTTAAACGTGAAATGGTGAAGTGAGTTAAACGCATTTTGGTGAAGTTTCTAATGGCTTTGTTTCTAAAATCGCAATAAAGTCTTTGTGATAAAGTCTTTAATTGTATTTTCTGAAGTATTAAAAACTTGGTGATGTCTTCAATGGCTCTAGTTTATGAGGATGTATACAAGTTTTCACCTCAGGATGCTAGCCTCCCACATTATTCCACTTTACAAG